CACACACACACACACAGCAACTCTAAATGAAGATCACGCTTTGTAGCTATAGGGGCTTTATTGTAGCCTGTTTGACCTGAGAGATTATACATATCGAACTTCACTTTTCACTCAGTTATAAACTCACAGTCTTCAGTCTTATTGACATCACATCATAATAAAATCACACGTGTACTTTTATTATCCCACTGGACTGTCTCATGTTACATTGGCATATACTGTCCACTGTCATTGCAGTTTTTCTTTGCTGTCCCAGCAGAAAAGCAGATGGGATCGATGTGCAGAGCTGTGCGCCAGTGTGTGTTTTGGTGCTGCAGTCTGTATCCAGCCGCCCTCATCCCCCCCGACCTCCGCAATATCGGAATACGGGATGAGACTGGGTATAGTGGCCTGATTCTTGCACTCACACATCACCGCATCCACAGCCCTGCACCGTGGACTCATCAGCTATAAGTTAGCTATAACGGTGACCTCCTGTCAGTCATCATCATATTGCATCACAAAACACAAACTCATATAAATGAGAATAATACCGAGTAATGATTTTTTCCCCCCACGCATACACACTGCAGTCCTCATCATAAGTCATCAAACCCACTAAGACACAACCACCCCCATATACACTCTATCATGTAGATCTCGTGTGTAAACCTGGTTTCCCAGATAACCAGATGAAGGTGGAGAGTTTGATCCTTTGGCAGTATATCAAAATGTATAAGATGCACACATTTGTTCTGAGTGAGATATCACCGTACAGTATTCAGTGTCTGTAGGTAAAAACAGTCCTGTCTGGCCTGTGTGGTGTTTAAATGCTGCGCAGAGCTGTCGCTGGCCTTGGTCCTGATCCAGGCTGGAGGCAGAAGAAGGGCCACGCCCCTGCAAAGGGGACCCACCCACAGGACTGCAGCTTCGCCACCTCCAAACACCACGCAAGGCGCCTCAAGTGCCCCTGATCACTGCCAGTCTGGCAAAAAGCCCTCACAGTGAGAATGTGCAAAACAGCCACTGTCAATTTATCCTAAATCACCTTAGATCATTAGTGGTTCTGCTCATTTTACTATTGTAATGAAGAAATAACAGATATCGTGTTTTACTGGAAAAGTGGACACATGTTCTTGTTTTTTTGTTTTTTGCTGCAACTAAAATTGTTTTCTCGACACCAGAAGTCACCTATGGCCTTGAGCCAATATATAATGTTGTTAGGAGAACGTATTTTCTCATCAAGAACATATCCATAACAGATCACTACATCAGTCTTCAAAACTTGTCTTCAAACGAAAAACGAAATTAAAATATTGCTTCAAGTGTGAGATTGTGTATTTGTAATTGATTTAATTGCAGATCAGCTGGTTTCTGGTTGCTGAAGGTGGTCCAATCTCTAGATTATTCTTTAATTATAGATATTATAATTTATTTATTTTATATTTATTTAAATTCTATAGATACGATCAAGAGGTAGAATACGAATAAGAGTAGATAGAGTAGATACGAATAGAGTACGGATAAGTACGATAGGATAGATAGATCACGCCGATGACAATTGGAATCGAAGACATTTACTATACACATCTTAAACCACTAGGGGGTGCTAAAGCATCAGTGGTACTTCACATGTCCAGCAGACTTGAGCTGGTGCTTAACACGTGTAAGGAATAAGCACATCCTCCTTATAACAGTACCACATTCATCTTATAATATATAAATAGTTGTTATACTGAGATCATTGCCTTATTTAGCACATACAAAATAAAGCAATGCAATGTTTATTTGGTGCACACAGCTGAACTAATGCAGTCTATTACAGTCTCTAACAGTCCTGCAATAACTCATAAAGGTTATAATGTTCACTTTTTAAGAGGTATTGATTGATATTCCACTCTGTTTATATCAACAAGGATAGGCTAAATAACCTCTATAAAACCTCTCTGTATAATAAACACAGTTCAACAGCTCTGCAAACTACATCTTCCAAAATGACCCTACAGCTGAATCAACACCTTCCTAAAACACTTTTATATGTTATATTGGATTGTGTATAGTTGTGTAAATGACTGTGGATATAATGTGGACATATAAATGCATTCAAGCCTATTTGGCCGCGTTCTGCAGGTCTGTAATAGAAAACTCATCGTGTATTGGTCATGCCCCCCAAGGTCACTCGTTCTGGTCAGTTGCCAGGATGTAAAGCTGCAGAGAGGATACACAAACACACCACATTATGATGACAGCTAACTCCTCACACCTCACGTTTCAGCCTCATAGTGAGGTGGAAAAACACAGTGGACCACACACAGGATTACAGTTCAGCTCATCAGGACTGAGAAACCATAGAGAGCCAGACCAGAGAGAGAGAGAGAGGGAGCCTGTAGTGCTTTACCTTGGCCGCCCAGCCTATGACTGTCTTCGGTAAAAAAAAAGGGAACTATTGAAGCGGTGCCAGTGACTCAGCAGGAAATAACAGGTAGCCAGATATGTCTGATTTGTATCATTATGTGTCCTGCTCAGCTTCCCCATCCCCCTGTATAGTTATCACCTTTATTTAATTTATTCTCCTGAAAGCATCATATCAGCCAGTAAAGTGATACATGCCATCACATCCTCATTCACTCAAGCTCAGCTCTAATACTGCTGGGTTTGCTGCTGTTTCATAAAGTGACTTTCAGTTTAGTAACAGGTGCAATGTGCATTGTTTTTGCATCAATAAACACTTACCACATTAATACTGTGACAACAGTGTAATGACTGTAAACAAACAAGACCACAGTTGGCAGCCTTGAGCAGTCCCCACATTGCCTTTTGCATGCAAATAGTGCCACTGGTCGGCTTTCACAGGACATGTGCTGTGGTGTTTTACAGCAAACAACAGGAAGAGGGCGCTGTTCTTCCAGCAGAAACAGAAAGGAAGCTTTCAGGATTTGTGGCAATGACACATAGGCACATAGAGCACTGCAAGGTTGTACACATTTCTGTCACACGTCTAATGGAAAAGCACAGCATTCCATTTATATTGGTCATTTTCAGGGCCAGTGTACTGGTTTACTTGCATGACTTACTGGGGTCCTCAAATGGAACAGAGCCATCGTCATCAGAGTTATTGATTAGACCTGTGAAGGCCTAGGGAAGGTAGCGATATTGTTATTGTTACTGGAATTGAGATAAAACCTTTAAAGGATTCAGTGGCATCTGAATTTGAATACAGCTCAGCCTTCTGTGTGTTGGAGAAACTACAGTGGCTGCAAAACTCTACTCTACTGTAGAAACATGGCAGTTCAACATGGTGGTCTCTGTAGAAGAGGACCCGCTCTGTAGATAAAAACAGCTCATTCTAAGGTAACGTAATTCCATTTCTGCCATTAGATCGTCCTAAATGTTACACACCAAACCTTTAATAAACAACTCTACTGGTCTAAGTCATTTCAGTCCATTTAGGATGATAAACTGATGATTCCACATTTTGGAAGATAACCTTTTTTGTTTTCTTGCCAAGGGCAGATTCCACTGTCATATCGGTTTGTTAAATTTGAAGTTACAACCAGCTGCCGGTTAGCATAAAGACTGGGGAACGACTAGCCTGGCTCTTCAATCTGGGAGGTGATGGTACACTTGAGTTTTGTACAATTCATGATATAACATGTTAATCAGTTAAACTTTAAATGTCCTGGCAGATTAATGTTTTCACTATGCCCACTCTAGTCTTAATGCTAAGCTAAGCGGTTGCCAATCTCTTGCCTCCTCTTTGACTCTCCACTCAAACTCTGTACCTGCATGCAACACCAAAACCTATTCAAATGTGATTGGTGACAAACTACAAATGGAAACCAGAATACTTCCCAAACCTTAAATCTTGTCCCTTGCCTACGGATTCTGCATTCATATGCAGATTTTGTTTATGGAGATGAAGCAGTTGCTGACATTAGCTTCATATTTAGCACACAGACATGAGAGTGGTATCAATCTTATCATCTAACTCTTGGCAAGAAAGCCAATAAGCATATTTTCCAAAATGCCAAACTACTACTTTAAAGTACTATAAATAGCATATGTTGGCAGGGAGTTAAAGACATTCCAAGTAATTCTGCATGTTGTAATGCTACGTGCTATGGGTGGGAAAGAAATCTGCTCAGCCTCCCTGGTTGGATTCAAACATAGTGACCCTCCCTCCACCAGCCTGCTGCTCTAACCTTTCTTCTTCTACTGTCCCAACCACCACTGCTGCCTACACAGCCACACCATCCTCACTGTGGTTTCATCTAATAGACTTGTAAACTATAAGCACTGTTCCACAGCTGAAGTAGATTTAAAACAGTATCACTCAATATTAGTTATGGCTCTGTCAGTGTGGTCCGTCTCTATTCATATAGTTTGATTAGTACTGCAAGGGTAACATTGTAAACAAAACATTTATGTGATTAGTGATGCTATGATGATGGAATGAAGATGTTATTTGACCGTATTCTGTATATTGTTAATGTCTAATCATTGAGTTGCATTCTTTTCTCTACATACACAGTATATTGGCAGCTAATAACTCAGAAATTCCCAGATCTCCATGGATGCCCCGACACAAAACACTCCAGCAGCCCTGCTCCTTTGAAACTCTTTTCCCTTTGGTGCTTTGATATGGCAGGTGTTACTCACAAGTGCTAAGCGAGGGTTTCTGTGAGCTTTACTACGTGTCATACACGGGCCACTCAGCTCCCCTGCTTTTGTTCTATCTTGGATGCACTGATCTTGTCTGATGTGCACTCTTCACTGCAGTCCCCCGAGACCCGTTTTCCCCACGCACAGACGATCTCCTCCATCTGTTTGCATACACACACACACACACACACACACACACACACACATATCTCTATCTCTTGATCTGAGCTGTCAGCTGTGATGGAGGATGATCATGTAAGGCTGTTGTCACTCAGCCACTTCCTGCACTGACATTATGATCACACACTGTCTCTGCCTACTGCAGGTTTTCTATTCAGGTGATGAAATCTAATGAGGCTCAGATAAATTCATTCACTTTCTACAGAAACTGTCTAATTGAATGGTGAGTGTGAATGTAACGTGATATATGCCATCCACTATTAATTTATTTCATATTATAAAGTTTGTAATGTAAAAGATGAACTTTTACACCTTTATATTTATATTTATATTTATGCTAGTTTCTCGCTGCAGATCAAGCATACCGGTAAACTAGTAGCATTGGTGGTAAAAGGAAACTATTCTGTCCACGCACTATTATAATACTCTCTATTTCCCTCCGAAACTTGTATTTTTTTGGATTTGGAATCCATATAGCTAGCCTAGCTAGGGAGACTCAGCAGAGCCAGCAGGTCAGGCCAAAACGTATGACGCGTGTTTTCATGAAATCACCAAAGGTTGAGGCAGAGCAGCCGGAGGACATCACAGGGAAAACCAGAAACGTTTCCTCCGTAAGTAGGATCCAGTTTTACCAAAATCAGTGACATAGTTGGTGGTGTGTGTGTGGTAGTGTTGTAAAGTGTTAACACACATCTCGCAGGGGATGTGCAGAGAAGTTACATAGTGCAGAGTGGGAATGAATAGGTACCATTCTCCCTGTTACAAGTGAGTGTGGCAAGTTATTTTAAAGTAAAATAGTTGCATAATGTTGCTTTAATCCTTGGTTAATATGAAGTTATTGATTAGTTCAGCTTTAAGCACTGGTCAGATGTGCAAACATGTTTTACCATCATTTTAAAAGTTTGGGATCCATTGGGATTACAGCAATATAATTCTGGTTTGACTGCAATATCAGTCTAATAATAACTTTTTATACTTTATTGGAGGGCTTTTACATTCCATAATCTAAAACTAGATCTGTTAAATTGTAATTTAGAACTGTGAAAACAGCCATGTGATTATCCCGAGCATGTAAACGGTGATAATGGACATTTTTCAGTTCAACAATAATGATGGTTTCAGTTCCATTAAATGTCCCAGCAAGCCATACCAGTGTCTCACATGAAAAAGGTAATATGATCTATCAACTGCAGGTGACCATGAGATAAACAATGATCAAATTAAACAACAGCTTCTTATCATACAACTGTCACAAGTGTGGGGAGAGTCAGGGGGTGGAGGGAGTCATTATGATGCCTATAGTAGGTGCTTGAATCGCTGTGTACTAACTCAAGTGCTCCCAAGGGCTTGGTGTTATTGTGTGTTTCCATGGCACATGTCATTTGCTGTTTGACTGTAGTGCTTTGGTGTGTGTGTGTCATGCGGGTGTGTTCCCTGCATTAATTGTTTGCGTGTCTAAATGCATGTGTGTGTTTGCAGGTGTGTGTGAGCACAATTGGTCGGGCCTTCTTGGGAGGCGAAGGTCAAAGTAAACTGGGCATGCAGGTCCTGGATAAGCTGCTGGATTTGACTAATCTGGCAAGCTAGGACATGAAGAGGTGGGTCAGTAGGCCTGTGACACACACCCACAAACAAACACACTTACACAACTCTGTCAATAGCATTTCTACACACACACCAGCAGGTAGGTTATGTCAATACACTCGGCTGGAGCGTGTTGTGCTTTGGCTCAGGCTAAGCTGCATTGCGGTGTCTGTCTCGTGTTTCATGTGAAGATTAAATGCAAGGTGTGTCTTTTGGTGGGCGCCTTTTAAGTGCTTTACAGTAGGATAGATAGATAGATAGTTTATTAACTATATTGTAAGACGAGTCACCGTGGCCTTGAGTCTGTGGGAATACTACACATACTATAGTCAGGCAGATATAGACCGTCCTGTCCACTGTACTGAGCCTCTCTCAAGCCTTTCCTTGACCCCGCTGTACCTCCCCCACAACATAGTGGACTCATTCTCATGACCTCAACACTGTACTGTCTACAGGGATACAACCAGGTCACACAGCTCTGTTTTCAACTATGGTTCCCATATGGCCACTATCTTTTATATTATATGATATATATATATATAAATTTCATGAATACTAACTCTGAAACCCATAAATTATTTCTCCATGCATGCATATATACACACACTTAGAAAGGATAAGCTTAATATTGTCTATTGGAAATGATGATGCATGATGCTACTGTGACTTCCTGTTTATATAGTTGATTGCTTTTTATTGGACGATACTACAGATGTTTCCAAGCAACTATGCACACATTATGTAAGTCTTTACTAGCTAAGACATTTCTTAAGTTTTACTTAATTGCGCAACCAGATTTGGTTTAAAAATGACTGAGGAAGGACACAAATGTAGCAATAGATTAAACTACAAATCAGAATCACAATCTGAATCAGAATCAGAAAAACTTAAATAATCTCAGGGGGAAATTACCTAAAATTAAATTGCTGGAGCCACCCAGGAGAGGTAATATTATCCAGTCATCCACAAGAATAGAAAAGCAAAGAGTATCATAATTGTTTGTCTCACAAACCCTTAGATTTCCTTTGTGGCCCCTTTGAGGGCCCTGACCCCTAGGTTTGGACCCACTGCTATAAACAGCCACAGTAGTGTTCAATCATCAATTCTACACTAAATGTGAGATCAAAAACTGTTCTATGTATCATATCACAGCAGGGAGCCCTACCTGGCTAATATGTGGGTTGTCTTTATCCAGAACGGACTGGGAACATGTGACTATTTTCTACATTTCACCTTTTGTAGCTCAGTCCTCTGGTAAGAATACCAGTCCAAGACATTCAATATATTAGAATAGTATTGGAGCCAACAAGGCGTTAAAAAGTATTTTCCTACGGCTCCCCTCCCCCTCAGCAGCCAGACAGCTCCAGAAGGGATGCTTCTCAAGATGCTCATCCCCCTCTTTCTCCTCCTTCTCTGGCTTTGTGTGCGTTGGTTATTGAGCAGCAGTCAGATGGCTGTCAACATACAAACCTGGGATTTGGCCAGCAGATTACTCTCAAACACATTGCATGGCTGACAAGGATCAGGCCCCCATGGAGGATCTCTTTCATTGGTTGTGCAAAAACCTCCTGACTACGGTCTATGCAAGCTCTACATGAAGATTAGTCATTGTATGAGAAACTGGTGGGTTGGGTTCCTCAGTCAAAGCCTTCATTTGCTCTTAGAACATAATTACTGCACAGGCCTTTTATGTCTCGAACTACAAATAAAGACAATTACAAGGTGATAGGTAGGTAAACAAGGGTTTCAAATGTTTTATTCCTTTAATATCAATGGCAAATATAAATTGCTGCTCCACAATTCATTTTCAAAGGTTTTTCCCCCCACACATTTGAAGTGATTTCTTTAGAAGAGAGTGTCCAAATAATCCAATTCTTAAAAAGTAAGTGCACAAAACACCCTCCTTTAGGTTATTGTTCAATAAACAGACATGTGGCCTTTCTGAGGAGAAAGGTGGCAGGCGACAACGATGTTCATGGAGCTATGACGCGGTGTGTGTCTGTGTGTTTATTGTGTAATGCATGAAAGCACCACGCCTGAGACCGTCACAATGGAAAGGAATGGCCTTTGTGATACATGTCGATACATCATATACACTCATACATATCATATACGTCTGTTAGGTTGTACATGTGTTTTCTGTTTAAGGCATTATCAGCCACTTCTTTGTATGCAGGGACAAAATGTGCAAAAAACCAAATACACATGAACATGAAGATTCCCCTGATGCTGAAACCTGTAGCTTAAACAACTGGTCTGACTGTAGTCTTGTTCTTTGAGAGATTCCACAACTGCTTCTTAAGGCAGATGCTAAGAGCACCAGGGTCTTTTTTAGAGGGGAGGAAGGGTGGGGTGGGTGGGGCAATAGTTGCATGTGATCACTGACACATAGGCTGCTCCACCACACGCCCCCCTGCCTCACCTGCACCGCGGATGCCAACGCAGCATGTGGAGAAGGGAGTCACGCTCACACATGGATGTATGAAACACACACGCACACGTGTCGATTGGCGGAAGACAGACAACAGGGCATGGATGGAGAGGAAACAGGACTCCCATAGAGACATTAATGCTTAGGTTTATACATGAAGTCTTTGTCAAGTGGACTTTTTTTGCATTTTACTAGTAAACAAATGAACAGAAATCCAGAACAGAAACATAGCCTTACATTTTTTTTTTGTTTGAAACCACCCACCCACTACCACCCCAAAAAAATTCTCTCTGAAGACAGTGACGAAATAAACACACACGCACACACACACAGTTTACACACGTACGCACCAACAGATGGCATTTCAGTGAACACACCTGCCCGCTCACACCTACTTTTCAATACATTTCCCCTTTAGTCCCCCGCTTATAGCGTGGCTACACAGTTCCTCTCCGTTTGAAAGGGTTTCAATATGACAAATAAAAAGCAGCATTCCACACTCAAACACTAAACAATCCTATATCTTTTTTTCTGACTCATCTTCATGCTTTAACAGAGAGTTGCAAGTGGTGGGTGCAGGAGCAGGAAGGTTCCTTTGGCGCTGTGCTGCCACACTGCAGGGTGGAGGACACTGTACATTCAAAAAGCTGCAATCCTCTCCCCTGCCCGTGATCATTTGGGACCAAAAACAAAGGGCTGCACCAGGCGGAGCAGCCATTTTGTTTGAGGCTCCTAGGCACGGAGATGGGCGGGCCAAACGGGCAAACACAGCTCCGCCAGAGGAATCCTGACCACCCTCAACCTGACCACCAGCTCCTCTCACTTTTATACTTTTTAATACACATTTTTTTAAAGAAATTATTCAGATTTTTTTGTCCTTTTATCTCCCTTTTAAAAAGGGCAAGCTGGTTTTGAAAACAGCTAAAAAAGTAATGATAAACCACAAAGAAAACATTTCATTTCTATGAGCACCGTGCCAAATTCTGAACAGACACCAAAGCCTCGAGGCACAAAGAGACGTCTCTAAATATTCTATGGATTGACTAGGCTGTGCAAACAAACTACACATAGGAAACTCTCAATAAACCTCACAAGAAGAACATAGGCTATGACTAATTAAATATATTTGTATATATTCATCTATATATTTAGTATACTGTATCTAATAAATACATTTGTTGATAGACATAGAGATCTTTCTATAAACTATTTACATTAAAACGTGTACATTTTTGCAGACACAAAAAATAGCTATGAAGGCAAGGCAAATATTTTAGTGCTTTTCACATGTGAACAGAGGGAAAGGTTCAGGCCTTTCTCCACGTGTTCCCACTGAAAAGTTAAAGCCAGTCGTTCTGTCGTCTCAAACTGGACTCTCCCTATATAAACAATTGGCAGGAACATCCACTTCCAAAAAATAATGCTCTGTCTCACCTGCCTGTCCTCTCTACATAATGGAATGTGCTCCAGTCTCTCGACTGCTCTCAGTAGATCGGTTCTTCCCTTCCTGTTAATACCTGGTGAACGGGGCAGTGAAGAAGTAGAGTACAAACATGTACCAGCACCTGCCAAAAATAAACCAGCATTCGGCCTGGTGGCTGGTGTTAAAAGTTTCCAAACCTGCTAGTGACCCCTTGTTGTCGCCAGGCTCAGACGTGACATACACACATTATGATAAAAGGATGCTGTAAAAACGCCACCGTCGTCAGAGAGAGGCAGAAAACATCAAACCCACCCCCAAAACCCTTCCATATCCCACAGCCCCTTCACAATCTCATGCTGCACAATTATTTTTGTTCTTTTTGTGTCACTTTTCCCTCTGGACGGCAGGTGTGGACAGAAAATTACAGGGTACTTACGAGCCTGCCTGCCAAAGCCCGGGTACTACGGGACGTGTTGCTGTCAGCCCCGCGGTTTAACACCACACAGCCTACTTTAGCACGGGCAGAACGACTGACACTGGTTTTCAAACGCTCACTTAGTGGAACAGCTGTAGTGAGGGGGGGGGGCTTTATGTTTTTAAGAGACAACATTTTTGTTTACAAAAGCAATTATAAGTGCAAAACACCATGCACAGATGGTTGACTGGTGTTCAGGGCCCCAAAAAAAGCCCCACATCATGTCAGTTTCACGCCATTTGATGACTCTCACTGTCTCACTGGACAACTAGGTGCGATGGAAAGGTGTGTGTGTGTGTGTGTGTGTGTGTGTGTGTGTTTAGGTGTGTGTGAAGTAAGGGTGAAATCTCATAAGTGCTTCCCATGGCTCTTGAGGCATAGAAAAAGAGGCAGTGGGATATTGTGTGGTAACATTCTCTGGCTGAAAGTTGTGTTTCTGACGGACGGATGGACGGACGGAGGGTTGGAGTGTCTTTGAATTCCTCGTTTGATTGGTGTAAAGCAGAACGGGTGACACCCTAAAGACTGACCGCTGATGATGTGCTGGATGTGTGCGGCCGTCTCGGAGGTGCTGCAGTCTGAATGGAAGTCACCGCGGGGACAGGTAGTCCGCAGAGGCCTGGCTGGAGGAGGGGCCTCAGACTTGGTCAGTCGTG